ATACCCATATTCTCTCCCTTTCTCTTTCTCATTCCTCCATCTCTCTCTTCCACATACTCTCTGAACCTCCGCCCTCGACTCCCCCCTCCCTCTCCCTCCCCGCCCTCCTCCCTTCCGCGCCCACGCCCCTCGCAGGTGATTCACGCCCGCTCCTGCGCGTGGCCTTATGTGGTTACCGGAGTCCTTAATCTCGAGAGCCAGCCCCCCTCGCCCACGCTCCCCCCCCCCGCGAGACGACCGAGGGAGATTTTCGCAATTCGGCTCCATTTTTTGACGACAGCGCGGCGTGCGGGCGTTCAAAGAGGGCCAATAGATTCCTTAGGGATTTAAAGACATCATTTGGACATGACAGCTGAGCGGGCGTATCTCCGGAGCTCGGTCGGGGCCTCCACCTACGCCAGGAGGAGCAGCCGGGGCTCGACCAATCACAGCCCCGGATGGTGCCCGAGTGAGAATGACGTCACGGAGGGTATAAATGCCGGTCCGGGGGAAGGTCGAGTGTTAGATCCACAACTGCGCTAACATCGTAAGGTTAGACGCGATTGGGTTCGAAATCCTTTGAGTTGCTCCTCCTCGTCGAGTCTTTGCAAACACAACAAAATGGTGAGTATACTAAAGCCATACGTGAGTGAAACAGAATATCACATTTCGTTAAGACATGAATATTCTCTATGGTTACTACGTGTCACGTGTTTCTTGTGAAGTGGATTCATGTGGATAATCAAATAATCAGTGGTTTTTGTAGTGAACACACCTAACAGAAAGTCGACGCACCAAGTTTCTAATTCTCATGAATCGCAACAGTAAAAATAGAAAAAAAAAAACAGATTCCTTGACGAGGCTCGTGTGTCTTGCCGCCTCAAGCCAGGTGGCCTTCGTACGAGGTTGAAAGAGGGGGAGGGGGGGTAGAAAGGATTCATTTCAATCACATTTTTAACGCTAAAATTCTTATTAATTTTTAGATTGTGTCGATGCAATTGATGTATATTTTTTACGTGCTACAGATGTTAAAATACCAGATGTATTCAGCATACAGGTGTGCAGTCCTCGGAGTTATTGGGATAAAAAGTTATACAAAAAACATGAAATTATCAGTATCTAACAATCATAATAAAGAGATAACTGACTACAAATACATTTATAAATAGATAAAGCATATCGCTAATACCCAAACTTATCTATCCTGAAATGAAAGACCGAGAAAGTTAATTTTTTATCGACTTTTTCACCACAGAGAGAATCCAGTAGCGCAGATTAGTATTGGAATGCGATTTTGAATGTCAACTTGTAAGGCATGAAGGTTGCAAGACAATTATGCGTTTTAATTCGATAACTGTAATCGATTAAGAATTCATCTGATCCGAGTTTCGGCTTCGGGTGTCACGCTGTCTTTTATGATGACTTATTAACGTTTTTTTATGGATTTATCTTTATCTGAATTGCAGTTTTCTATTTTATTAGGTTTGTGGTTGATAACTTGCAATAGGTGATGATTGGTATTTTTTATTGTTTAAATGTGTTTGAATATAATGCTAAAAGCTTGGTAGATGTGTTAATCTTGTAGACAAGTAGGCGACGGGTTTGGAAAGAAAATGAAAGAGGAGAAAACGATGGTAATAAAGAAGAGAAATCATGAAATGAACAATTCCACCCAGTCTGCATACCCACCGCCACCGCTTCCTCTCCACCCCCACCCCCACCACCATCTCTTCCTCCTTTCTTGCCCTCCTTTCCCATCACCACCCCTTCCTCTTCTTCTTCCTCCTCCTCCTCCTATACCCCACTCCTCCTTCTCCTAATTCCGGCACCAACCCTCCCTCCTCCTCCTCCTCCCACCGCCACCCTTCCTCCTCCTCCTCCCCACCAACCTCCTCCTCCTCCCTATTCCCCCACCACCACGCACCACCTCCTCCTCCTCCTCCTTCTATTCCGCCACCACCATTCTTCCTCTTCCTCCTTCTCGACCCACCACCTCCTTCTCCTCTCCTCCTCTCTCCCCTGGGCAAGGACTGGGCTCCCTTAACAGCAAGGCAGGACACTCGCCGATAGCCAGAGTGCTCGCATCCTTGTGGCGAACCTCCTTTCATCCTCATCTCGTCTGTTCCTTCTCCATCCTTTCTCGTCTCGTCCTTCTCATCCTTCTCTTTCTTCTGTCTCTTCTCATTCTTTTTCTCGTCTGTTCCTTCTCCATTCTCATTTCTCGTCTGTTCTCGTCTATTTCTCTCTTATCCTTTCTCGTCTGTTTCTTCTCTTTATCCTTTCTCGTCTGTTTCTTCTCATTCTCCTTTCTCGTCTGTTCCCATTCTCCTTTTCTCGTCTGTTCCTTCCCATTCTTCATTGTTGATTTTATTCGTTTTCTCTCTTTTCTGACTTTCTGTCCTCCTTTTTCTCTCTCGCCATTCTTTACCTTTGCGCATTCTTTACGTTCCTGCTTTCTCTCGATTCCCTCCCCTCCCGTCCCTTCTCCCTTCCCCTCCCTTCTTCACTTTTCCTTCCCTCCCTTCCCTCATTTTCCTCCCCTTTCCTTCTCTCCTCTCGTCTCCTCTCTCTTTCCCCCCCCCCCTTCTCCTTCCCTCCCCTTCCCCTCCCCCACCCTTCCTTTTTCCCTCCTCCCCCCCTTCTCCCATTCCACCCCTCCCCTCCCCTCCCTTCCTTTTCCACCTCCCCCTCCCTTCCCCATTCCATCCTGCCCCCCCCCCCCCTCCCCTCCCCCCCCCCCCCCCCTGCCCCATGGCGTGATACGGCTCGCCCATTTGAATAATGTATTGCATCACATCCTATGACGTCATGCACTTTCTCGGAGTCTCTTGCTGAAGTGATAAAAGAGGACTGCTTGTCTTTTGTATACTATATATATTATGTATATATATATATATATATATATATATATATATATATATTATATATATATATATATGTATTTGTATTATATATATTATAAATATATTATATATATATATATATACATATATATATATATATATATGTATATATTGTAGAAAAATGCACAATGTACACAGAAACACAAGCACACACACACACACACACATATACATATATGGATATATATATACATTTTTTCATATGTATATATATATGCATATATATACATATATATGTGTGTGTGTGTATATGCGTTTCCTCGCTCCTTTCCTCCCTGCACACCGCCCTAACGCCCCTTCCCCGCAGCGTGAGTGCATCTCCATCCACGTGGGCCAGGCCGGGTGCCAGATGGGCAATGCCTGCTGGGAACTCTACTGTCTCGAGCACGGCATCGCCCCCGACGGCTCCATGCCCTCCGACAAGGCCCTCGGAGGCGGCGACGACTCCTTCAACACCTTCTTCAGCGAAACCGGCGCCGGCAAACACGTTCCCAGGGCTGTCTTGTCGATCTCGAACCCTCTGTTGTCGGTTAGTGTTTTTGGCTTGTTTTCATTGTTCCTTTCTTGATATTCTTGATATGATTATTGACCTGTAACATTAGTGTGAATTCATTGCCGATAGTCATGCATCGGATAAGAGTTGACATACTGAAGTTGAAGATTTTGAATCACGAATTTGATAAAGAAAGCCTCTAGAAATAAAAGGAAATTGCTTTTATTAATAAGTTCCCCCTGAGGCTTTCTACCCCTTTCCCCTTCCTTGACCGTGAGAGTGATTCCTTGTTGTGTCCGCGTAGCCATCCTCGCAAGTCAGATCATCACACTGAGCCTCCCCCTCCCTCCCTCCCCCACGCAGACGAAGTCCGCACCGGCACCTACCGCCAGCTGTTCCACCCCGAGCAGCTGATCAGCGGCAAGGAGGACGCGGCCAACAACTACGCTCGCGGTCACTACACCATCGGCAAGGAGATCGTCGACCTCGTCTTGGACCGCGTCAGGAAGTTGGCCGACGCCTGCACGGGTCTCCAGGGCTTCCTGGTCTTCCACTCCTTCGGCGGCGGCACTGGCTCCGGCTTCACCTCCCTCCTCATGGAAAGGCTCTCCGTCGACTACGGCAAGAAGAGCAAGCTGGAGTTCGCCATCTACCCCCCCCCGGTCGCGTCGTCTACAACTCCTCCCACCCACACCACCCTGGAGCACTCCGACTGCGCCTTCATGGTCGACAACGAAGCCATCTACGACATCTGCCGCAGGAACCTGGACATCGAGCGCCCCACCTACGCCAACCTGAACCGTCTCATCGGCCAGATCGTCTCCTCCATCACTGCCTCCCTCAGGTTCGACGGCGCCCTCAACGTTGACTTGACTGAGTTCCAGACCAACTTGGTGCCCTACCCCAGGATCCACTTCCCTCTAGTCACCTACGCCCCCGTCATCTCCGCCGAGAAGGCCTACCACGAGCAGCTCACCGTCGGCGAGATCACCAACGCCTGCTTCGAGCCCGCCAACCAGATGGTCAAGTGCGACCCCCGCCACGGCAAGTACATGGCCTGCTGCCTGCTGTACCGTGGCGACGTCGTGCCCAAGGACGTCAACGCCGCCATCGCCTCCATCAAGACCAAGCGCTCCATCCAGTTCGTGGACTGGTGTCCCACGGGCTTCAAGGTGGGCATCAACTACCAGCCGCCCACCGTGGTGCCCAACGGCGACCTGGCCAAGGTGTCCCGCGCCGTCTGCATGCTGTCCAACACCACCGCCATCGCCGAGGCCTGGGCGCGCCTCGACCACAAGTTCGACCTGATGTACGCCAAGCGCGCCTTCGTGCACTGGTACGTCGGCGAGGGCATGGAGGAGGGCGAGTTCTCCGAGGCCCGCGAGGACCTGGCTGCCCTCGAGAAGGACTACGAGGAGGTCGGCCTCGACACTGTGGGCGACGAGGAGGAGCAAGGCGACGATTACTAGGCTGACCCGCAGGGCGGCCTGGACACGACTCGCCTATAGAGGGGCCCAGAAGCCCCTCGCGAAGTCATTGGTCACACAGCTTTACCCTTACTGTTAGGCAACCAAAACCATTCCATTTGGAACGCAACAGAAATTAAAACAAATATTTTGGTACCA